CTCCTTTCACTTGCTCGTCACCAGTATCCAATACGTTGCCATGACTATAGACTTTATCTCCTCTTTTACTTCCATTGCAAACTCTAATTCAAACCTGCTTTAAATTTTCCAAGAATAATGTAATAGCTTACTAATAATTCTTTCTCGTGATACCCAGTAATTCCTCACTTCAATCCATTCTTCATAGTGTTGCCCTATTATCTTCAGCTTTGTGTTTTATCTGCTGTCACAACACACAGTTCTGTGTCACAATCCATTACAGAGCATATTGCAAATTATTTATAACTTACCACTAAAGAAATTTATCAGTGCTTTTTTCATAAAATTAATGAAAGTTGACTTGGATATTTCCTATCAACATTCTTCAATTGTTTTCCGATATGCTCTCTTGAGTGGAAGAGGGACTGGAGTCACAGAAAAGTGCTAGGAATTCTGGAGGACCCAGATCACTGCTAGGTACATGACACTCTTCACCTCTGTCTCTCTGAAAATCACCACCATAAATAAACAAAAGCTCTGATCATGTCCCTCTGCCATTGAGAACCATCAGTAGCTTCCCACTGCCTGCTAGTTTAAATACAAACACCCAGAGCTGGAATTCAGTATCTTTGTCATAGGATTCTAACTGAATCTGGCCAACTTTAATTCTCACCATGAATCTATACAACCTTTTAGTTAGCAGCCCTGGACCATTCTTAAGCAGACCTTATACTTTTCCATTTTCCTTCCTTGGTGCACACAGCTCTCCGTCTTAAATTGTCTTCCCCGGAGCCAACTTTCTCCCCCTCCCCCAGCCCATGAAGACTCCTTCCAGCATGTTTTTGCCTCTAAAAGCACATAGAGAAAGATAATTATTATGTATGTGCCTCACACATCCCACCAAGCTATGAGTTCTTTGATGAAAAGCTGTGAATTTTATTCCTATTTCCATCTACCATAGCACCAAGTGCTTCCGATACAAACAGCACTCAAAGAGCTCTTGATGAACTACAGAAGAATAAAGAACATGCATTCCAAAGGAATCAATAGCCCAGTACTGTTAGTAAGGGACTACGCAAAGTCTAATCAGATCTGATAGTAGGTCACTAAGCACTGTGACGCTCAGTCATGTATTCTATTCATTCAGCCACACACTTAACGCTTGGGACTTAACAAGGAGCAGAATGTGTGCTAAAACTGGGGAGCACGACACAGTAACAACAGTAAGAAGGGTAAAGCCTCTAGCCTTCTTGTACAAGCTAAGATGGGAAG